TGAATACGTGTCTATTCATGCGTACAGTACATTTGCTAGTACAGTTACTATTCATGTGTACGGCACTATAAACCAATACGGTACTATTACATTATCAAGGAACTCCAAGTCCTTATTTACATGTTAAGGATCAAGGATCTTCAGGTCCGATCTCTTGTTTACAAATATAGTACCGGAGAAACTGCCAGCTCTCATATCAATATCATCATCAAGGATCTTCAAGTCCTGATGTAGTTGTACGATAAGGATCAAGGAACTTCTGGTCCTGATTTGTATACTGTAAAACTCATCATACCGCATAATTAATCCATAAAGTAAATTGCTTGTAAATAAATTCCTCATTCGAGCTATGTAGGTTGTTGAAACAAAGCTTGCAATATGACCTACGGAACTGGACTGGCAGGGGGCTGTAGCCAAAATTGAGTTTGTCTTTTAAGCTCTTCTTCCCTTCATCCAAATTAGGCCTTAACATGCATGGATTGCATGAATTATGCTCTCTAAAGCCATCATTATTACCTAAAGCTCAATGAACTGAAAGATAAACACAAAAAGGATTAAAAGCACAAGTTTAACTCAAAAACATAACCAAATCATAAGCTAGAAGGGTACAAAATGATATACAATTATGAACCGATCACAGATTTCCAATGAAAAGATTCTAGGAGCCCACGAGAGGCTCATGGCTAAGCTTAAGAGGTGCCGTCTTTTTCCTTCAGAGGCTTCCAGAACATAATGAAATTTTATAGATTTTACAGATCCTGCTTCTTCCTTGCAGGTAAAAAGAATCTATTTGTTGTATGCTCATTTCCTGTTATAATAATTGAGTAAATTCTTAAACTTGCACCTGTGGTTTTCATGTCTTTTCAAAATGACGGTTTGGAACCTTGTGCCTTATAGGTTCAAATAACCACATCAAATCTCTTAAATTACATATTTCAATGTATGTGAGTCTGGAACTTCTGGCCCTGGCTAAACACGACCTCAAAATTTATTTGCCCTTTTCAAGTGGGCATGAAATATAAATTGAGTAAAAGCCACGATAATATTGCAATATAGTAGTGAAGAGCATTAACTACTATATACCCAAAACTTCAGGTTCGGGATCTCTCATATATTTGGATCCATGGGCTTTCGGCCCAGATCATATAATATAACAAAATATGTGGAGAGCCTCAATTCATCCTTTGAGGTTTATCTTGATATTATCCATTTCACGGTGTATTCTTAACAACCGGAATTCACAGAATATATTTCTTCCTTGAGGTGTCGATTGTAACAGAATCGATCTTTATTAAATTCATTATTTTCTTATGCTAAAGAAATATGTAGTTTGCCATAACTTGCAATAGAACCTCAAGGGTTGTCCATTTAATTGTTGGAACTTAAGGTTTTCAACACTGTTAGATTTTGAACTTCCGGCCAAAATCATATATTTTCATGGTATGGACATTTTTATAATTTCTTGTACATATTTCGAGACTTCAGGTCCTTACATAGTTGCCCATGTTTTGAGGAACTTCTGGCATCTCATTTAATTCCTCATCCATGAGTTTAAGGAACTGCAAGTTCTCTTTTGTATATAGTGACGGTTTACCCAAAATGGTTAATATTTATGCATACGTCACTATTCATGTATATGGTACTATTCATCAGGTCATGAATAAGTGTCTATTCATGCGTACAGTACATTTGCTAGTACAGTTACTATTCATGTGTACGGCACTATAAACCAATATGGTATTATTACATTATCAAGGAACTCCAAGTCCTTATTTACATGTTAAGGATCAAGGATCTTCAGGTCCGATCTCTTGTTTACAAATATAGTACCGGAGAAACTGCCAGCTCTCATATCAATATCATTATCAAGGATCTTCAAGTCCTGATGTAGTTGTACGATGAGGATCAAGGAACTTCTGGTCCTGATTTGTATACTGTAAAACTCATCATACCGCATAATTAATCCATAAAGTAAATTACTTGTAAATAAATTCCTGGCAAATAAATTGTTGGTATGGATGATAAACCCGCACCATACTTTAAGTAAATGTGAGATAAAATAAATTCATAAAGTAAATTGCTTGTTTTATGGGGTTAATTCCGCACCATACTTTAAATAATAAAGTAAATGTGCTTGTATGGGCACTAATTTTACTCCATACTTTTAAATAAAAAGTAAAGCCGATTGTGTGGACGATAAACCTGCACCACACTTTTAAATAAATAATGTTGTATGGGTAATAAACCTACGCCGTACAATAAATAAAGTAAATGCCGGGATAAAACCACCGCTAAAAATATAAGAGGTGAAACCCTAAATCGTCCATTAAAGCTACAATAATAGAATTACTGTATATATATATATATATATATAGATAAAGTAAAGGCAGTTGTGAATGGGTTCTTATCAACACCATGATCAAATAATATAATATTATATTATTATCGTTTGTGGAAGACATCATGCTTGTCTCCCCAAATCAAATGCTTTCCACCTGTAATCTGCACACCTGCACTTATATTGATATTAAAGATTATAGAATAATAATAAAATAATAGAGAAGATAAGGGGGCAGAGAGCTTATTGCTTATTCTTTCGATGGGTTTGTTGTTCCAATTTTTCTTTGTTTTCTTCTTTTTCAGATCGCAAGCAAAGCTGAGTTCGAGTTTTGGTTCGGTTGGTCTGGGATCGCTATGGGTTGACTCCCCTGCATCTTGATAATCCAATCCAGCTAAGTTTGACCAGAAAATCAGAAGCTAGAAAGCTGGAACCTCAAGTAGCAGTCGGAAAACTGGTTTCACCGATCAGAACTAGTGGCAATTCCGATGAGCCCAGCTGAGGCCATGAATTCCACTATCTAGATCAACGACTCATCTCCAGCTTCTTTCCCTGGATCTCCTTCCACAATTCGTGCACTGGTCCTCACCATGGCAACTTCAAATGTCTCAATTGCAAGCTTCTGCATCAGGACCTGGTTTGCATCATAAACAATCTTGTTGTTCATACTGGAAACAACATGAATAAGATGGATGGCATCGACAAGCCTATAAAAGTGAATACGGGCCCAATCGAAAGCGTGCTTGCTGTTAGACCCATGATCCACATCGATGACTATGTCACGGCCACGCCTTCTCTCCACCGTCTCCCTCTCTAGAAAAGTGGTTTGCTCTTTGTGTATGTGAGTGTGAGGGTTTAGAAACAGAGATCAGTCTATGATGATGATGGTGAGGAAGAAGAAAAGGAATAAAAGATCTGGGATTCATCAAAGAATTCAACCCGTATTTTGAAAGCGAATATTCAAATAGTGATAGAAATGTTCTTCTAATTTTTTCATTGAGTCTTGCTATGTACATACAAATGAGAATGAAGCCATATTTTATAGGCAAAGCCTTGGCTAACAATTAGGTAAAAAGAAGACTTCGGTGTATGGAGATTCCCTTCCAACATGTGGGCTCCACTTATTAGCTTTACAAAAAATTCATGTTTTTTTGGTAAATTAAATTTATTTTTAGGAAGGTAATTTTGGTCCAGTGGAATTTAGTCTCTATTTTGTTGGTAAACTTTAAGTTCAAGTTTCTTTGGTGACATTGTTGGATAAGAAACGAAGTGAGTAATTAAAAGAAAAGTCTTTGGGGTCGGTGGCCTACATCCCTCTCCTCCCCCCTCATTCCCTTCCCTCATTACCCGACTAGACCTTCCCCTCCCCTCTCCACTTCCCCTCCTCGCCCATCCCCTCCAACACCTTCGTTTTTGCTGAGTTTGGTGGTTGTTTGGTTGTCTTGGTGACGATGTGGTGGCAGATCGGGTTATTTTTACTTGTTTTGTGAGTTGTAATAAGTGCATCAACTTCCTTTGAGTTTGTTGCGTGTTTCTAGTCTTTATTTGTATTTTATACTTGTAAATCGGGTTTTTTTACTTGTTTTGTGATGTAGTTTTGTGAGTTGTAATAAGTGCATCAACTCCTTTTGAGTTTGTTGCGTGTTTCTAGTCTCTACTTGTATTTTATACTTGCGTGCATCAACTCCTCTTGTATTTTCTTTGTTTTCTTCTTTTTCAGATCGCAAGCAAAGCTGAGTTCGAGTTTTGGTTCGGTTGGTCTGGGATCGCTATGGGTTGACTCCCCTGCATCTTGATAATCCAATCCAGCTAAGTTTGACCAGAAAATCAGAAGCTAGAAAGCTGGAACCTCAAGTAGCAGTCGGAAAACTGGTTTCACCGATCAGAACTAGTGGCCCCCCCATTTCTTAGGGTTATGAGTGGAGGTACGTCTTGTGCACTTGATGATGCTAGTGTACTCCGTATTTGGATTAACCCCTTGTGGTTAATGTGATTCTATAATTGTATTAAACCTATGTGGTTATTTGTATTGGTCCTTATGACTAACGACCATGATGCCTGAATTATGAATACAATCTATTGCCACTGCATGTAAATGCAAACATTTAGCACAGTTTGTACCATAGTTTGGGCATGACATTAGCCCACTTCAAGAAGCCCATGAAAGTAGGCCCATTAGTTTTTCCCTATACAATGGCACTCTCAGTGTAATTCTCTACACACATCTCCACAATTATAGCAAGTTTCTCCCAACTGCTCTCAAGCCTCTATGTAAAGTTGGACATTTTTTGTGTGTTGATTGGTTTTGTTATTTGTTGATACAATCTCTAGTCAGACTCTAAACTACTCTAATTTATAGGGAGAGGGATTCAAACATGAACGCAAAGTGGCGGACTCACTATAATAATCAACTGGCCTAATTCACATACTTTTTGGGTGGAATGTTGAGTGTAGTGATATGTTTGTTGGAACTTGGGTGTATATAACAACACTTGGTTAGAAAATGTGTCAGATGCTAGACGGTAAAAAGAAAATTACTTTAACCCATTACCAGGGTGAAATTTTTTGAAATCCAGTGGGCAACTGTGGAGCACGTGCTGGCCGTTCTCTTACAAACACATATATATTTCATACGCGCGGCCAAAACCAATTCAGAAAAAAGGCCCTTCTCTCTCTCCTCTCTCTCTCTTACAACTTGTAGCTTTTGCCACCTCTTCTCTTCTTTTCTTCTCCTCTCGGAGGAGAAAAGGATTGCACAGGTATAGAAAGAGAGCAGCAGCACCCACACTCAATACCATTTTCGAGTTTCAACGCCACACTAAAAAGGAAAACAAAAAAAGTGAAATTCTCTCTTCGTCTCCATTCTAGGGTTTTCGCTTCCGCCATTGTCACGCACATTCAGACATTCTCTTCTCCTTCGTACTCCGCGAGCATTGCTCCGAGCTCTCTGAGTTCGCACTCGTCACTGATTCGGAATTCTCGATTTCGTCTCGGTTTCGGTAATTGCGAATTTTATCGGTTTTGTTTGAAGGATTTCTTGTGCACGGACTCAAGGTGAGGTTCGTCCGCTTGATTTTGGTTTTGATTTTTTTGAAGTGGTTGACATTAAGCATGGCTGCGTTTTGCTCATTAGCTTGAACCTTTTGTTAGGGTTTTGGATTGTATTACCCTTTTATGGGCGTGTATTTTGCGTTTTACACATAATGATGAGTTCGATTTTTTAGTTTATTTTATTTTATTTAAAATTTGGGTTTAGAGTAGCAGATAAGTATTTGTTTGAATTGCACACAATAATGGATTCTTTCATGCTTATAATGGTGAAATTGCCCCTCCATTTTTGAAGTATGTTTGCCATATAAACCTTGAGCAGCAGCTGCTGAATTTGCCTTACCCTGCCTTTATTGTTTATTGTTTATTTTTCCTTTCCGGTTATATGGTAATGCAAGGGTGGACAAATGTTCTGTAGGGTCTTGGTCACTTACAGTCATTTACAGCAGTCATTCACTATTGCTGATTGTTACCTACAGATATATACAAGTCTCAATGGTATGCTCACTTGGAAGTGGGAGGATGGCAGTGATGGCAAGGCTTCTTGCATCGGGGAGTGTCACACAAAGCATAGCAGGTACAATGAGACTTTGGGATTGCATTTAGTTGTGTGCTCTGCCTTTATACATATAGATGATCTACCTATGATTTGTAGAACTCATAACTTTTACTCCTAAGCAGCATTGCATTGGTTATTTTGGTTTCTTATTGACCTCATTCCCCTGTATCCCCTGTACAGAGGAAGTTGGCCATCAGAAGTTTGATGCTCAAATGATTTGCAGAGAGTTAAGTGACGCAAATGAAGCAAATTTGCTTGACGAAGAAGGTGATTTCTTTACGCATTTCAGATACCCCTTTAATAAAAAAGTGCATTTGTTCCATGTTTGATGTAGCAGGCTTGCTTGAATTAATCTTGAGTTTTCTAACATGGAAAATGCTATAGTGCCGCAGTGATGTTTAATGATAATGGGGTGGTGGTGGTGGTAGAGAGTCTAGAGACTAGGCACATCTTTTAATCAACATTATTATACAGTATGTTCACAATTAGATCAAATTTGGCTCACAAAATGTTCACCTTTAATAGTCATTCTGTTTATATAATTTTAGTTTTGCAGATGCATATGATATCACAATTCTTGGTGTTCAATTCTGTTACATAACATTTTATAATTTTGCACAAGCCTTTTGCTTTTCTAAGTTTGTAGTTTCATAAACTTGTTGATGATTTCCATTGGGGTCTGCAGATATGAATGTGTTTGGTTTGAAGCCGATGGATGATCCTTTGCGTTTGGTAAGGTTTAGATCACATTGTTTTGTCATGCTATATGGTATTGAGGTCTATAAAGTAAAGATTTGGTCGTAAACAATATACAAATATGTATATGGAAGTATGTATTTGGCCATGTATGTTGGGTGTTTCTGCTTCGGCCCAGAAAAATTTGTATACTGGTCATGTGGATATAACACTGTTCAAGCTGGCTCTTTCTTTCTTTCTCTCGTCCTAAATAAAATATCAATAGCTTCATATTTACTACCTGTGTGCTTCTTATACAATTAACTCTCATAACTACCTCTTAACGGAAATTAAAGGATACCTTAACCACTTGAAGAATATAATTTACCCTAAACCCTATGTGAATTCCTTTAACAATGTGGTCCTTCAGCCTACTAACACTACCACTACCACTGCCTAATATGATATTAATGGAGTGCTAATCCAAAATGAAGAATATGTTTTCTTTATTTTATAGCTGATCTATTTTTGAGTTAAAATAAAAAGGGTACCAAAGATTACCTAACGTATTTATGTAATTGTTTAGTTCTGATGTGTTTGTGTGATTACATGTCTACATAACCTCTATCTAATCTGATTATTAACTATCACTGTGAAGGTATGTTGCAATGCTTGTAAAAGACCAGTCAAGGCCAGTCAATATGTGGCACATGCAGGTTTGAAGGTTTTATATATGTATTAAAAAAAATTATTTGTTTTACTTAAAGCCTTTATTTATTTATATAGACACATATGTTTCTTTTCTTTCTTGTGTGCATATTTGGTCGGTCCATTCCTTTATGAAAATTTCTTTGTAAATTCCAAATGGTATCAATCATTATTCGATACGTGATTCATCCTTAATTTATTTTTAGAGAAACACAGATTTTTTTTATATGATAAAGATTTAAAAATATCTTGCTGATAAGGATTTATAAACAAGGATTTTTTCATCCTAGCTCAAATCAAATTCAAATTTAGGATCAAAAAGACCTCATCAATGTTTATTGGCCTGCATGTAGTGCTTGCTATTTGGTTGTTTCCTAACTCTTAAGTGTGCTGGTTCTAGCCCTATGCTGAGATGGCTCGAAATTTTCAGAACTTTGTAGGTCATTAAATGCTATGCAAGAAACTACTTTGGAGCCTGATGGAAGTATGGGACAAAGGAAGCCTCCAAGGAAGGAGAAGAAAAAGTTGTTAACTGCTTATGCTAGTATCCTTTTTATAACGACTTCAGTGAAATTTAGTGTTTTCCTTGTTCTTTCTGACATTTCCTACCGATATGTCACCCCCTTTCTCCTTTTCTTTTTCTATTTGAACCAAAGTGGAGTAAAGTTCCTAGTTTTTTGAAAGAGTTCATGGTAGTCATTATTTTAAAACCAATTTCTGGGTGTTTTGCAAGTATCTTCTCAGAGGTATTTTGTTCTGGTTCGAAGGCTAATGTTATTTAATGGTGTGACAATCTGATGGTTCTTAACCTTTTCTAGACCAGTCCACATCAGTTGGGGAGCTAGAAAGATCTGAGTCTGTAGAAGCAGATGATATTGCTGTATCACAACCCCAGTTGGATGGGCAAATCGGAATGAATTCTTGCTGTTTTATGGAGACAAAAAGTAACTCTTTCTTGCCTTTGATCTTGTGCTTCAGTTTGATCTATTGGCTTCCTCATATTAAATTTCTGTTTTGCTTCGTCATTTTTTTTTCTGGCCCCACCGGTTGCCTTTTACTACTAGGCTAGTCCAATTTGTCATGAAAATCACGTTCCTGGAAAAAATATTCAAAGCTGTAACTTAGGGTCTGTTTGGTGATGTTGTTGTTTTTGGCATTTTATTTATAATTAAAGATATAGAAACGGAAAAAAGAGAAATTGAGAAGAGAGAGAGAGTAGATTTGAGGGAGAGAGGCGAGGATATAAAGAATGGTTTTTGCAATACAAACTAAAAATTGTTTGTTTTCCCCCCATTTTTTCTCATCTTTCTCCTTGATTTCTTCTATATATTTTCCTTCTCTTTAATTAAGAAAAAGGAACAAAATACAAACTAAAATGTTATCGGACGGACCCTTAGCTTTTTAGCTATCAGACGGACCCTTAGCTTTTTAGCTATCACATCGGCGTGTACAAATTTTTGGGCAGTGCCAGCTTTTATCTTCTGGGTTGTCATTATCTTTTTTCCTGTTCAATGAGCTAGTAAAGCAGAGGAACTATCTTTTTAATTCAAGAAACCATGAAGCTAGAGCATACTTGTAGTGGTTGATTTGACAACACTAATGACATGTGATCAGAATTTATTAATGGTTATATGAGCTGTATAAAGTTACTAGCCCTGTTACGTGAAGTATTACGTTGCAGATTGTACGTATTCTTAAGATTCTCCCTGGAGTTTAGATCTATTCTTGATATCATCTAGCAATGTCACAATAGCCTTTTTAAGTTGGTTTCTTTTCTGCACAACATGCTTGGGAGATAATATTCAAATATGTAAGATGATTTCTTTTCAATTTGTATTTTGAAAAAATAAACGTATAGCAATTGAACAAATTATTTTACTGTTCAATCTGTATTCAGCTTTCTCCATTTTTTTACCATGTCATCTAGGGAATTCAGCTTATGTAGATGCGACATATATGATGGATGGTTCAGGAGATAGTCCTGGAAATACCAATGGCTCAAAATGTGTGATGCTTCCTCCAACAAAACGGTCTAAAATGTATGATTTTTATTATTATGAATGATAATTATTTTGCATTATGATTTTTTGCATATCTTAAGTACATTAAAACTGTATATTTGAACCTTTGAATATATATTGCACACTAGTACCCTGGCTCTTTCCCTCCTAGTTCCTCTGATCTTGTGTAATGCTGCACTGTTAATTTTCAGTTTATTTTTTTAAAGGAAGTTAAGTATTTATGCACTGTGTTCTGGAGCAATTTAGAGAAATGGACTCTCAGTGGCTTTATATGTCCTATAGTGGTGTAGAATGTCCAGATAATAAGCGCTTAGGCATGCGATCTAGGTGAATTCTTCTTTCATTTGTCCCTGAACCTATGCTTCCTTTGGTTTCTTCTAGAGAAAAGGGTGCAGTTGCTACTTTTATTTATGCCTTAAATTGCAACATGTCAAAGTGGGATATATTCTTGCATCCTTTATATAAGTCAAATGCAATGGTTTGTTGGAATGTTCATTTGTTATTTTGTTTTAATTTTTGAGGAAAGCACCCTTTAAATACTGTTGATATTTGTCATTCATTTCCTTTATGTGACACAAATCCCTTTTTCCCCTCTTGTAGGGTAGCAGGTGAGCAGCTGCCACTATCAGATGATATAGGAATAGTATCTGCTGTATCAAAGCTTACAAGTACTCAGGACGCATGCCCCTGTGAGGCTAAATCTTTAATATGTATTTGTCTTCTTATACACTGCCCTGTAGCTTGGCCGTTCTCGAATATCCAATCACTTTATTTATGTAAATCCTCCCGAAGGTGAAATTACAGGGGATTTGCAAAGATTGTTGAAGGAAATTTTAACTTTGCATGTGTAGCTAGCTTCATTACTTGGGAATGAGTCCTTTACCACAATGTGTCAAAGTATGAGAAGTTGGATATGGTTGAATTTTACTTTTGACTCTCTTTATTCATTAATTTAACGAGCTTTTGATTTCCAACCCCTACACCCAAGAGGAAAGAAAGAACTGAAACTGGGAAGAAACAACAATTGCTTCTTGTACTTCGAACTGTTTTCATTATTCTATATACGTGCTTAAAGATTGGTAACTATTGCCTCTAATGTAACTGAAACTTTGTTGATTCTATAGTTGATTTTAAATTTATGATGTACTCATGTATAGGAATGTATTTCATGCATGTGTGCAGATAGGGATTCTTCAAAAGGAGTCATTTCTGTAAGTGAAATACCTGATGACTCTGCCCTTAAATATAAGAAGTCTGGGCAAGCCCTTGAATGCTGCATGCCAATTAAAGGTATACTAATAGTTGTGTCAGTTTGCTCAATTCTTATACTTCAGCACACAAAGATTAACAATGATCTTGCTTCTTAAAGATGAATTATCAAATATGTAAATCAACTGCTTAGGAAAGTTTATCCTGATGATTCTTCTTTTTCGATTATCTACTGTGTGTTCTCATTTTACAGTATTTGACAATGAGTTTGTATCAATCAGATTGCCCTCTTCCCCTTGCTACTAAAGTATATTACTCTCAAAAAAGCAATCGTCTTCGATCAGCACTTTGCCATCTTTACTACGAGGCAGTGGCATCAACTAAGGGGCTGTGTAGTGACATGGTGAGTGCACTAATATTAAGGTGTTGAGTGTTGAAGCCTAAACGTTAAGCAATTATAGGACAACGTTTGCATTGCGTCACGATATGCATAAATGATCCCCCTCCCAATCCTCTGTCTCCTTTTCTTGTCGAACTTTATAGTGATTAACAACTAATTCCAGATACTTATTGCAAAACAGAGAGACTCACAGTCTTTACCTTCCATGAGGAAACCTGATCAAATTCTTGCACAAAATTCGGAAGTTTGCTTGGGGAACTCAGTAGGTTCCCTTCCTGATGGCGACTTCTCAAATCAGTTTCCTGTTGATAATGTTCCAAGGCCTCAGGTTGCTGGTGTTGGTTTAACAAGAAGCAAAATTCTTTCAAAACCTTATTCTTTTGCGGGTAACTCAGGTATTCTTTAATTCTTTGTAAGATTGTTTTTTATTTTTTATTTTTTCAGTGTTTCATAGGATGTGCGCATTAGATTTGATCTTGTTTGATTTGGGCTGTAACTTGGTGAATAAATCCTTCACCTGGATAATTTCATTTGTTTTGTAGGACAATCACTGGGGACCATGCAACAGCAAAATGGTAGTGTTCATGTTATATAGGAATCCTGGTAGGAATTTTTGCCTCGGTGAAGGTTTAATTTTAACCTAATGCTTGAGGTTAGGACTTAGGATTCTTTTTTTGATATTGACTAAGCTTATCTTTAAATTGTTCATTCTAGGCCTCTACATTCTAGTCAATGACTGACCTATATTTAGATATCAATTGCTGTGCATTTCAATTTTAAGTTTCTGTCAGAAGATATGCTACTCTCGAATTTGTAAATACGACTTCTTCTAGTCTTTCAATCGGTTTATATTTTTATTGTTCCGTTAGTTTGGTTAATATTGTCTTCCTTTTGCTATAATTTTCTGAATGATCTTGGATTTGTTTCATGGAGAAAAAGAGAAAAGTTTAATCTCTTGAGAGTGCAACAACATGCTGATTTATGTGATGCAAATTATATATATATATATATATATATATATATATATATATATTATTTGATGTCATTGGTCATTGGCAACTCCTAAAGGATAGACAAGAAAATACATCCTCTTCTCTTGTATCTATCGAAGGTTTGGTGGAGATGGAAACATGTTGCTCCATTTCAATGTGAAATTAAGTGGGAGTTCTCAGTTGGTGGGACCTGGTAAGTTGCCATTAACATTTATGCAATGAAAGTGGCACAAGACTAATGTGTGACAGCAATAGACTTGGACAGCTTCCAGTTGTGCTAGGATATTATTAAATACATTGGTCTTTTATTTTCAACGAGGAGTTTGCTTGGTTGTTATTAAAATATCAGCATTCTTGGGTAATAATTCAATCATAAGTTTCAGACTGGATGTGGTAAAAAAGAGGTGGTCTCCGGAGAAAAAAACGTTGTGATTCTTGGATATTTTTCTGTCAGTCAGGTGAGTTAAAGCAAAGTAAGCTAAATTACGTTGTTAGCGACTAACCGTACCACAACTCATACCCAGAGATGTTATTGATGTCTTGGGTCTCTTCAATTAGATGCTTTCATTTGTTATGGAAACAAGAAATACAGGGTCTTCCTTGAATACAGAATCTTTATAGATTTATCATAACTTTATAACCATCATCTTTAATTCTTTATAGGTATAGATTTGATGTTTTTTTAAAATTAAAAAAATTCTTTACAAAGTGAATCGGAGGAAGTGAAAGATGATTTAAGGCTGGTGCAGGATGCTTGCGAATATCATATTTGTCATGTGATTGATAAGGCTGGCATCCATCCATCCTTCCATCCTCTGTCTCCAATAGTGCCCCATTTTAGAAGAATTGCGATTGTCACTTTCCAAATCCCTACCCATACCAATTGGTATGTGGCCTTTCACTTTTTCGTGAGACAAATCAATGCAAAAGTTGGTTGGGTTTTTTGGGTATGTATCAACATCTTAAATTCATGTTTGGTTGCTGTTGTAATAATCATTTTTCTTTGGGTTGTCCCATGCCTATCCTGTCGACAAAACATAAAATGTCATCTCTCTCTTTCAGTATAGAGAATATAATATTCGAATTTCATAATAGCCGAATTTCATTTGCTCAAATCACGGTTTAGCACATGTACAAAAACAAGTCATCAAAACTTCTACATGTATGCCATTGGTAGAAATGCAAGAGTTCCTACTTACACGGGAAATTAAGGAAATATTTTCCATAATACCCTAATCCTCCGAGTGAGCTAGGTCAATTGTACTCCTGATCAGGTTTGGCCTCCAAAGGATCTCATATCATATCATATCTGAAAGCATATTTTGCCTGGTAGGTTTTGATTAGACAAAGAGACGTCGATTTAAGTACCGACAAACAAAGCGTTCCTCTCATTACAAGAGGATATATCATGTCCTCATTTACACATGCTCTGTTCTAATTTGTTTGCTTTTGGTTTCTGTTTTTGGTGCTTTCCTCTCATCTTTATAAACTTGCTTGCCGTATAAGTGTTGTGTGAGAGAAGAGAAGAGAGAGGTCCAGCTAAACACAGAAAACACAAAACAGATGGAATATGATTATTGGAGTGGCCCACAACAGCAATTAGATTAGAGATTCCCGTCAGAATTTTCACTCCGGGTTGGGTGGGGGGTATACTTAGCAAAATCAGATGGAATTAGAATATGTTGCGTCTTCTTCTTTTTGGACCCATTTGAAAAATAAAAACAAAGGTTATGCCACTTTTGCGATAAAACAAAAATTAATGTGTTTATTTTATTTGTATAATATATAGATACGAGAAAAGCTAATTTTTGCTTTATTATATGGCAATTTTTAAAATTTATAAATATTCTACCAACTTGTTTTAGCCGGCAAGTTTGTGCCATCCGCGGCTCCGCCCATCGATTGAGACTGTGATTAATTTATTTATTTGTGCATGTATGTGTGCCTCTACCTCAGCCTGTGGGGTCCACTTTCGGATAATTGAAATTGATCCATAATCAACTATTTTGCGTTGTATTTTCTGCAGGCAGCAGTTCAAGCGAATTTAATGAGGACCAAATTATTAGTTGAAAAATGGGTTGGGGTTTGCCTTGCTTACAAAAACATATCAGCGTTTTCCTTGTGCCAGAAGATATCAACATTATTTCGCAAAAAATGAAAGAAAGAAGCTACATCAACATTAAAGTAGAATGTAATCAGCTTAGCTATAACATAAGAGAGAAAACCTTTGGGGTCAGCGGCCACTAGGCTTGTATACAGGTTGGAGATGGAGCGGAGCACTTGAAATTTGACCCATATTCGATTTTAAAAATATTTCGACTCGATCTGATCTGAAAATCCGACAGATCATTAACAACTAGATTCATATTGAATTATCCAATACCAAATCCGATAACCCGATCCGAATTCTTTTATATCATATACACAAATAATTAAAAAAATATTTTTATTTATTTACAAAATTCACATTTCTTCTCCTCTCTTTCCCTTCCTTTTCCCTCTGGATTCTTTGTTTTGTTTTTGTTTTTTGTTTTGTTTTGTGATGTAGAACCATCGTAGTAAAACATTGTCGTCATCATGATATAGTTGCTGTCTTTCGACCCACGAATGCAAGGATTTGGCTCAAGTTGTCAGCTTTCGATATAGATTTGGAGCTATGAAGTGGGGATGATGCCAAGTTGTGTCGGGTTTGGGTTTGGGCACTTCAAGTTGCCCGAGAGGACGTGGAGCGATGGTTTTGTTTCTTAGTTTGTTTTAGTCTAATAAGTCTCATGAACTCTTTAGAAGTTTGATGTGGCTTATTTTTTGTTTAGGATATTTTATTTTATTTTGGCTTTTGCTTTCGATACAGATTTGTTGTTTCTGGCGTTGTGAGACAAATCTTTATTGCAAATTTGAGTACATGTTCTTTTGGTTGTTGATTAAGAGATTTAATCATTTTTGTGTTGTATGTATTCTCTCCAGATCAATTCAACTTGTTGCATTTGGTCACTAGAGAAATTGTGTTCATATTCGGCATTTTAGTTGCTTTGTGCTTGTTTTTTTTTTTTTATATTATCAATAAAATACTATCGCTATTTTATATATATACAATTAATCAGCTACTTTGGACTAAAATAGATATTCACGTAATAAAACATACTGGTTACTTAAAGATGAATTAAATGGCCAAAGTAATCAATAGTTACCAAATTGGATTTAAATAGGATTGGATTAAATTGGGTCGATCAGTTTGGTTAAATTGTATTGAATTGAAATGCGCCTACCTACCTACCACTAAACTCCAATGTCAAGAAACATTCATGCATTTTTATTGTTGGGTTTTCTTTTCCATATTTGATCATGACCTATTTTCCATCACACAGCTAGTAAATCTCCTAATTACACTTCAATGATCAAAATACGCCACGTGTATCATAACAACAAGTCATTTTAAGAGTTGAAAACATTAAACATATTATATATTTAAACAAAATGCTGAAGAAATGTTAAATGTTTGACCAAATCAGCCTATGCAGGAAGCAAAATATATTCAATTCAAATCACGTTTTCATTTTGTTAGATTCTATTTTCTGCTGACCAATTTTTAACGAAAATTAGCAATTCCCCTCATTTCTTTCTTTATGCCATACACTATATACAATTAATAATGGCCCCAAAAAAAGAAAACAAAATCTTGCTAAAAAGCCAAAAATGGTTACTATTATTTTGTTTTGTTTTTTTTCTTTTTCTTTTTCCCACCCACCAAACTAAATAAATAAATAAATAAATAACACTAGCCAGGGCTATCTTCTCGAACACAATAAAATAAGAAGAAATTCAAATGCTTTTTTGTAGTGTGATGATAAGGAAGGAGGCTTGGAGAGAGAAAAATGCAAACAAACAGACAACAAAACAAATAAATATTCCTACTTGCCTCGCCCACACTCGATCCTTCTTCAAAATCCCAATCCTTCCGTTCCAAAAACCAAAAACCCAGAACCAAAAATTCATCTTTTTCATCGCAGAGTTAATAGATTTTGATAAGCTTGAGTAGAGAAATGTCGATAAGGAGTATACTTCAGGACATGAAGTTTTCCCGGTCGCAGCGGGTGGTCCAAGACTCGTCTGGCCCGGCCGAGTCGGTGGGCGAGTCACTGAAGCAGAGCTGCTGGGCCCAGATGCCTCAGGAGCTGCTGAGGGAGGTGCTGGTGAGAATCGAGGCCTCCGAGGCCGCTTGGCCGCCGCGGAAGAGCGTCGTCGCCTGCGCCGGTGTTTGCCGGAGCTGGAGGCACCTCACCAAGGAGATCGTCAAGGCTCCTGAGCTCACTGGGAAGCTGACCTTCCCCATCTCCGTCAAGCAGGTCTCTTTTTCTCTCTCAAGGAAAAAGAAAGAAGCTTTATATTGATTGAGTTTATGGTCGAATTTATATTTGTGTTTGATATCGCTGCATTAACAGTTTCCAATTTACAAAACATGATGGGGGTTTCGGTGGAAATTGCTTGTTTTGTTTGGGATACTTCTCGGGTGAGATTGGAGTGGACTAGTTAGGATAATTCTTGGTCCTTCTATGCCAATTGCTCCAAATTCTCTGTCTTTGTAATGTTTATAGAGGAAATCGCTTACCAATTTCCCTCAATGATGATAGTGGCTGAAATTTCCTATCCATTTCCTATGTTAGAGTGTTTATCAGCTAAATTTTTAGATGACATGCAGTGTATAGTGATGGGAAGAGCCTAAGATCATGTCAATCTTGTTCTGTGCTCTCATTATGTTTGATTTTCTGATTGGAAACTCGTGGGTTTGCCAAAATTTTGATTTATTGTTTTCTACCTTTGAAATCTTCTTTTTACATATTTTCAATATCTGTTTTTTGCTGGTTGCAGCCTGGTCCAAGGGATGATCTCCTGCGGTGCTTTATAAAACGGAACCGTTCCAGCCAAACATATTACCTTTACCTTGGTCTTACCCATGGTGAGCATTTTCTAACCTAAATGGATGTTTCTTATTGTGTAGTACAGTGTGAATGATAGGTAACCTTGTTTTTCTTCTTTTAGGTTGTTTGTCAAAGATATGGCTTTGCCATATTTGATCTGGTTTTGTTTAGTTAGGTTATCTAGGTATTCATTTCCCTCCCCAGAAATTGCCGTTACTTTCTGTAAATAGTGGGCCTGTGTCCTCTTCTGGTGTCCTTTTTGAGCTATAACCTTTTTTTAACTTTTTTGTTGTCCATGGCAGCACTAACTGATGAGGGAAAGTTCCTACTTGCTGCACGCAAGTATAAACGCGCCACCTGCACTGATTATATTGTCTCACTACATGCTGATGATATGTCAAAGGGGAGCAGCAACTATATTGGGAAATTGAGGTGTGGCTGAAGATGCATATGATGTAACTTTTTCTTTTTCACCATGAGCTTAAATATTAACACACTATCCCCTCTCTTTGTGAAGATCAAACTTTTTGGGAACAAAGTTCACAATCTTTGATGGGCAGCCGACTCATGCCGGAGCCAAGATTACAAAAAGTCGCTCTACTAGGCCAGTAAATTTGAAACAAGTTTCACCTAGGGTCCCTGCTGGAAACTATCCAGTTGCTCACATCCAGTATGAACTAAATATGTTGGGTTCCAGGTAAAATTTTTTCTTCTGTGACAAGTCATTGAACGTTCCTTTATGAATGAAATTATAAGAGTACATCTAGGAATTTCATCTGCATAGGTGATGCTTTCCTTTTTCTCTTAGTCTCTGCTGTGATCATAATTTGTTCAGTACACGTAGATCAGGGTGCATTTTTATTCTAACAAACTGAGGAAATTACATAACTCACAAAGTTTGTACAAGCAGGGGTCCAAGGAGAATGCAGTGTACCATGGATGCCATTCCTGCCACTTCAGTTGAACCTGGAGGAGTAGCCCCCACACAGGCAGATTTTTCATATAGCAATGCAGAATTCCTTCCATCCCTCCCCTTTTTCCGATCAAAATCAAACCATTTGGAAAGAATAACAGGGCCTTTGGCCAGCCAGAAAGGTGGGGTGCTGGTGTTAAGAAACAAGTCTCCTAGGTGGCATGAGCAACTCCAGTGTTGGTGTTTGAACTTCCATGGACGAGTAACAGTTGCTTCAGTGAAAAACTTTCAGTTGGTGGCTTCTCCAGAAAATGGACCAGCTGGGCCAGAACACGAGAAGATCATCCTCCAATTTGGAAAAGTGGGGAAAGATTTATTTACCATGGATTACGGGTACCCAATATCAGCATTCCAGGCATTTTCAATCTGCCTCAGCAGCTTTGACACCAAGATCGCCTGTGAATAATGATTTGGAAGCTGAATCTTCCGGAATCTGGTAAATAGTTTAATTTGAATCTAAATTAATAAACTATTATATACTTAAAACATAACGCTTTGACCGTAGATATCAGCAATACTTACATAATCTGAATGGATGGTTCTGTGTGCTCTGATGTATAATGATAGTCAAGCTAATTGGTCTGTAGGAGCTGCTAGGTTTAAAGGTCATTTTGTGGGTTGAATTCAATGGACTGTTTGCTGAAGGTGATTGCAGTGCTGGGCTTGACAGGCAGGCTGCATTCTCAGATGCTGCAAACCTTTTCGGATCATGATTTTGCCGAACTACGGAAGGATTCTGGAATATAAAGTCGGAGAGCTTTGGTTCTTTGTCATCCACCATGTGTTGTATATTTTACTTGTTAATGTACATAGTAGTGATTTTTATAAAAACCCTCGTATTGCTGAAATTTAACGCCACATTTAATTTTATTTTGGCGTTCATTTTGTATATTTTATTATGTCAAATCAGCCATTGAAGTTGTAGGTGTTTTTTTTGTTTTGTTAAAAGGCTTTAATATTTCATTAGAAATCACAAGATATGCATCACTGTCAGCTCGAATAAGAGCATCAAGCCAAATTGGTACATCTTCCCACCAATACAAACTTGAGCCTAAATTGAAAGATGTTGGGCTAATACATGCACAACTGTATTGAAGTTGTAGCATCCTGCTCCTTTTATGAGTATTTTGAACAAGGTCATATTTAATTTATTGTTGTTTGTGTACTGGGGTTTTAGGTATAGATTGGGTATTTTGGGGTTTGGGTCCAACATAGATGCAAAATAGAAATTTAATAGGATTGGGGTTTGATGTGTGAATTTTGGCATTTTAGGGGTTTAGATTTTGAATTTTAGCAATTTTTGGTTTGAGTTGAGACACCAAACCCCAACATATCGAAATTCAAACCTTTTCTTTTGGGTCAAAGTGGCTCTATTCATTAAGAGCGGGAAGCATTACAAAAGCTGGAAAGTCCAAAAAAGCATTACAAAATATAAATTTAACTAGAAGAAGGTAACTATGTCCTTCGGGAGGTTCATGAAGGCATTTGCGGCAACCAATGGTGCCCGATCTCTTGCTCACAAAGTTATTTGGCAGGGATATTTTTGGCCCACTGTCCACACTGACGCCCAAGCCTTCACCCAAAAATATGACAAATGCCAAAGGTTTGCCACCATCCCACAACTTCATGCCGAATCAGTGACACCAATGATCAACCCATGGTCATTCGCTCAGTGGAGACTTGACTTCATCAGACCTATTCTGGAAGGAAAGGGCAAGGTCAAGTACACTGTTGTTGTGGACTATTTTACCAAGTAGGCCGAAACTGAAGCCCTAGCCACCATCACATCAGCTTTGCTTATAAAAAACGTGTTGCCAAATACTCTCGTGTGAAGCCTCGCGCCTTCAAACCTAGAGATTGGGTCATGTGCAAGGCCTCGCTAGCCACCAAAAACTCAGCTGAAGGTACTCTCGAACCAAAAACTCTTCTATCTAAGTTGAATCCAATTTTGGACATCAACATTGGGAGTATTCAATTTTGACATTTTGGGGTCTGGTATGTGCTTTGGGCATTTGGAGTGTTTCAAAAAAAATGGGTTAATAAAATATGAAGACGCTGCAGAACAAGAGAGTGAAAGTAACATGAACATTTACCATCCAATCCAAACGAAGCTAAAATTGCTCACATGACCATAGTTTTTGGTACAGGAGGTACAGGGTAATGCCAGTAATATACTGGCCATTCTTGTTAAGATTTAGCTTATATGATTTTGCCTAATACCCATCAGATACAAGTATAGTATACAAGTTTTATATATTCACTATAATTCTAACTCCTACTAAGCAGCTTGCATGTGGTTGACTGATTCTGAATTCGAATGTACAGATTCAACAACTTCTTCTTCGATAGGTAGATCATCTGACGGCAGTGCCGGTTGATAGAGGTTCCAAACAAACTTCGAAAATGAAGGAAAATGTTCTGGTGAGAAAAAATCAGCTCCCATTCTCTGATAAGTGAACAGGTCCATTACATTCTCTCCCATCAAATTCTTCTTTATCTGTTGAAAGCCCCCACGACCTCCTGAAACTGATGAGTTTTGCCCAGCAATCTCAACCCCATGCTTTCTGCAAGCTGTTGTAATTTGTGATAGTAATAACTCAGGACTTGAAAGGGAGTCCTGTGGCTGATTTTCGTCTGATAGGTCCATTCCAGGCAATATAATTTTGCACGAATTCCTTGCGAACATCTGGGCAACTGCTTCATAACCATCTCTAGAGGATGTATTGTAGAAGCCAGATGTTAGCTCAGAAGCGTGGGAGCTTGTTTTGTACCAAGAGTGAATTAGTGGGACTTTGCCATAAATTGTCACTTCAGCGTCTGTAAAAGTTGAAGAGGCAAGCGACAGGAGACGATCTCCATGAGATATGAGCTGGTTTGAGTACCAGGAAAGGAAGAAGTCACCATAAGGAGACTCCCATGATCCCCCATGGTCCTTGAAGAAGTTGCTTGAGTTCGGTGACTGGTCATAGTTTGGAACATCATGAGGACCGCCAAGACCCCACAAGGGATTTCCGGTGACTTCAGCATGTTGTTTAAGATTGCTAAGCATGCTTTCATCATAACATTGGAACTCTCCAACCCCAGGAATTTTATTTTTGACTAGTCGGTGATGAGAAGGATATCGAAGCTCACCATCGGGTCCTAGGCTCATTGAGATGCCCTGAAATTTAACAATACAGGAGAGATTGACAGTTCAGAACCAGTATGAAACCAAAGAGAGTAAGATGATTAATCTTTCAATATAGAGTCTGAAGGGTCAGGATTTCTTACCGTTATTGTGGAACCCAGGAACGGCGCGAATGAAGATTTAAAGCTTTCACAGAAGTCGTGGTAAACTTGGATTGGAGTCTTTCCATTGAGAACAGGAAGTTCATCGACAGCCAATGATAAGCACTCTTTGTATTGCTGCCCTGACCGATCTGTAAAGAAGATACTAGGTTGGGACTCACCAAGGCGAGATACCCACTCAGGGAGTGAGATCTTCGGTTGTTTCGATGCATGGAAGCAGAGTGACACATGAAGCTCGAGACCGGCTTTCTGAACCATCTCTGCAACAGCAAGGTAGCCTGACCATTCATATTTCCCCATGGTTTCTTTCTCAACCATTCCCCACCAGACGGGGAGCTCTACTCCTTCCACCCCCAATAGCTTCAGAGCCCTCAACCCAGCTGCAATTGCTCTAGCATGGTTTACCGCATTGCAGTCTGAAACTGTATCTAGGGGTAGCCCAACAAATAATCTTACTCCATCATTCTGCAAAAGTAAAATTGCAAGAAAAATAAGCCAACTAAGTTGAACTAATCAATCATGGCAAGAAAAAACTCAATGCCACAAAGATCAAGCTTCTGAAACATACACAATTAAATACTAAAATTTTCCTTGAGTGATTCAAGCACTTCAGCTGTACATCTTTTGCAAAACATGCAACAGAGGTTTGGTTTTATATAGATTAGGTGTTTGAAGGCATACCCAATCGGTATTGGCCCTTTAAAAACAGGTTCTAAGTTCTAATAGTAACTCTGGCCTTTCAAACCAAGAACTACGAAACATCAAAATTATCATGTTTACTGAAAACCCTTTTAAAATTTCATGAATTTATGGTCAGCTGTATCATTAAATTTCGAACTTTCATCACAATCTCAGAAAAACCACTCCCACCTAACAGTCCTAATACAACCTACAACTACTTTTTCATTTCCTTTAAATTCAGAGAAACCAAACTTAAAATTAACACAAAAAACAGAGAAGAAATCTCTTACCTGTTTGGATCTTCTGGCAGGACCCGAAACTTTATCGGACCGAACCGCTTCAGATTGTACGGCCCTCACAGTAAGCTGAAGCCGGGCGTTTTTCCAGGTCGTCCTTTGACCAAAACAGATGTTGGTCTTCAAATTACCATTCAATTTACAGAACCCGAGCTCCGTTCGAACCAATTCGGCCTTCCCGACGGTCGCCTGAGAGCTGCGAAACACCGAAACCTCCATTTTCCAATACGGTAAATACCCAATTACTCGAAAAACACAAACTTTTCACAACCCGAAAGCAATAGACTAAGAAAATCAATAACCCAAAAAAGAAAAAACTGGAAATTGGCTTGTTTCGCCTTTAATTTATGAAAATCCACAAAAGTTTGAAAGCTTCAGAATGCAGACGATGAGTTCTGAGAAGTTTAGGTAACGGCAACCTGGAAGCGAAGCTTTATAGACACGCAAAGCAGGACCTCAGACGCGTTTTTCATAAAAGAAAAATAATAAAATGACAAAAATAATATGCCACTTGTCGATCGCAGAGGAGACCAAAGTAGTGCGCCGCTAAATAATTATATTTTTTTTCAAAAGAAAAAAGGGGGCAAATATGCAAATATATAGTGTTTTGTGATTATAAATAAATTCCTTATCCAAATGGTACGAAGGTATCTTTCTTACTTAGTTATCACTAGGACAGCCATGTGGTGTGGTTGTGTTGACATGTGTCGAGGTTTATGAATGATGAGGTTTTTTGTTGTCTCATTTAAGATATAGAACTG